CCCCAAAACCCCAAAACCCCAAAACCCCAAAACCCCTTAGTCTAACTTCGTTATTGAAAATCAATCGTTTTAAGTTATATTATTTTACCTTAGTGCTTCCTAGAGGAGATCCGCACTCTGCTCAGCTATATTATATAGAGCAAATATTTACCTGTGATTTAATTTGCTCAGTGCTGATCACATGAATGGAATGAAAAAGCATCACCAGAACCCAAGGCCTCACAAGATTGCTGAGAAGATATATTGAGCGAAGGAATGCTTAAGTTTGATATTGCTTTTTCCTTCGTAGCCTCAAATTTTGCATTTACGTATGATTTCTCTAGCTCCTGGATATCTCTTCAAGGTCATTTCAGTCTCCAATCTATCCTTTTCCTTCTGTAATTCGATATCTTGCTCTGTTCTGGTGTTCTTTATCTTGTATTGAGGAATAGGGTCATCCCTGAGCCTATGATTGAACTTGATGTCTTCCTTCTTGCTAGCAAGGTTATCAAAGGAGGAATCGACACCTTTCCGTTCTTCTCCATTAAACTTCTCCTGTAGCTTATGGCGGTCACCTTGAGGAATTCTGTTGTTATTGAGTCTTCCGTCATGCCTGTAGAATACTCTTTCCTTTTGATGGTTGCTACTCCTATCAAGATGCCTATCGTCCCGTAGTTGGTTGTATCTGTCCGTATGTCTACCATGCCTATATTCATGTCCTTCATTTCTGTTGTAGCGGTCATAATGTCGACTGCTTTTTCTACGGTGAGATCTCCTGTGGCTCCTCTCATTTGTGTGATGATTTCCTTCATAGCGATCCCTCCTAGCTATAGATTGTTATAATCAGAATTCTCTAGAAAGAAAATTGGAAACCTAGGTTTTTACGAATTTTGGTAATGGAAATGATCTCTGATGATTATGACTGTTTTAGGTGTTGTTGTTAAAGGAATAAAGAAGAACTTTTGGAGACATTTGTAGAATAATGAAGGGCTTCAAGGGTTTATGTGACTTACGAATTCCTTTAGGAGGATTTGCATAACGAGGTTTATTCATAACACTAGCTCCGTTCATTTATGATTTTCAATAATATTATGGTAATTTGGGGTTTTGGGGTTTTGGGGTTTTGGGGTTTTGGGG